GTGAGCAGAAATGACTCCAGAGGCCTTGCTGCTTGCCGTGACTAATGGACCCCAGTCCTTTCTGTGCCATGGGGTTCCCTGGTCGTGAACGCTGGCCAGGATCCCTACACCATCACTCATGGGACCAGTGTTCAGAAGTGGGCCTGCCAGGCATCATCAGGCAGGGCTTGGCCACCTCCCAGAAGCCAGGCCCTGCTGTGAGACAGGCTAAGGACAGGGCAGAGGACCAGATCAGAAGAGCAGGGCTTACCCTCCTGGGGACACACCCAGGACAGGAACACTTTTCCTGGTGGAGCCGTGTGGGCAGAGGGGCAACATGAGACCCTCAGTAACATACCCGTCTTGGTCAAGATGCAAGTGACTTGATTTTGGGTTCCTCTAAAACAGAGTACAAGATAAGGCTTTGTGGGCAAGGAGTTTATGTGGGGACATGACCATAGGAAGCACAGAGAGGGTGGAGAGAAGTGACACAGAGAAGGAAGAAAAGCCAGTAAGATCTTTTAGTGAAGAAGCGACTGCAGTAGGCAACTAAGCCTTGCAGCACGAGGGTTTACCTGGCAGACGCTGTGAAGAGTGCACCTCAGAAAGGTCCCACAGAAAGGTGAGGAGCTGAATGCGCACCCACCACCTCCTATCCCCTGGTGGTCAGGTGGCTCCTGGAGCTGGTCACCTCCCTCGCTCTCTGGTCCTCTCTGCAGCATGCTCCCTAGGCCAAGGTAGTAGGTTATGAGCTTAAATGGGAACTGTCTTCAAGCTGCCTCCAGAGTATGCTTAGTAGATCTTGGATCGCTTGGATAGGGATCTTGGCAGGGTCCCTATACCAGTCCCACCCTTGAGGCAAACATCAATACTTTGCCCAGACGAACAGGCTGAAAGGTGGTGGGTGAAGGGTGCCAAGTTACAGAAGCCAGTAACTGCACCTGTCCTGGCAAGAGATGAGCAGGGAATCCTGCATCAAGCATTGTCCAGCATGCACCAAGCCCTTATGGACCCAGCACCCCTTCAAGTGACCGTGACTCCCTGGACTCCAACCTCTTCTGCCTAAGGCCAGACAGAAAGAACTGGAAAAGTACTTTTGTTCTGGGCTTGTATGGCCTGGATCAGGTTCACAGCTAATTAGAAGTAAATGTGAAGCACAATTATGTAACAACCTTCAGTGGCCAAATTCATGAAAGGAATAATGGGTATATGTTTTCTTTCTGCAGAATTTTAATGAACAAGTGGCATTACCATCCATTATTTATCTTTTTTCAATTGCAGTAAATAGTTGCAGTGACGAATATCCAATTTCTTTATTTACAGAAAACTCGCATATGTGTAGATCATGGTACAGGCCCATATTTACTGTATAAAGTACTGACTTGTTTTTCTTTAATAGAGAAATGTGGCCATTATTATTCTATTTCTTAAGATGTAAAAGTCAATGCATAATAAATTGATAGGCCATTTCTTTTGTGCTCCTGTAAGAAATAGCCAGCCAGCTTCTCCTTGGAAATTATGGCTCTTTATATTTAAGGAAACTTAACCTCTAGCAGGATGAGAGACCTGGAGCAAACACACTCTAGGCACATGGCCGATGACTAATAAATATGTTTACAGAATTTATTGGTTGACAGAGTCCCTGAGAATTGGCTTTGTTTTTAAATCCCCCAGACAGGGTTGAAGCCACACCTTGAAGTATATACACTGCAGTTATGGGCCCTTCGCATTGGATGACCACACAGTCATCACTTGATTACATCTTCAAGTTGGTTATGATTTTGAGTAGGATTGTGAAAAAAAAGGAGATTCCAGGACTGAAAGTAAGTACCTGCGCAGCATCATAAGACAGTCCTCCAAGCTGACTGAGCAACCATATCTCTCTTACCTGGGCTTCTTGGTCTGGGAGAAATGTCCTGTATTAGTTCATTCTCACACTGCTGATAAAGACATACTAGAGATTGGGTAATTTATAAAGGAGTGAGGTTTAATTGACTCCCAGTTCCAAAAGGCTCGGGAGGCCTCAGGAAACTTACAATTATGGTAGAGGGGAGGCAAACAAATCCTTCTTCACATGGCAGCAGGAAGAAGTGCTGAGCAAAAGGGGGAAAAGCTGCTTATAAAACCATCAGTTCTTGTGAGTACTCACTCACTATCACGAGAACAGCAGGATGGGCGTAACCACCCGCGTGATTCAATTACCTCCCACTGAGTCCCATCCACAACATGTGGGGATTATGGGAACTATAATTCAAGATGAGATTTGGGTGGGGACACAGCCAAACCATATTATGTACCTCTAATGCCACTTCATTCGTCTGTTCTGATGAAATCTACTACAAAAGGTGGGTGTGCTGATTGCTGAGGAAGGCAGAGCATTACACACAGCCCTGTTCTCCAGAGACCCAGGGCTTGGAGATCAAACATAGCCATGGAGGGAAGTTCACAGTGGAACGTGTTCAGGATGATGGCAGAGTCTGAACCAATCATACATAGCAGGTGAGCAAAGGAGGGAGGGGCTGTAATGACCTTGAAGCCCATGAGCTGGGTTCTCTTCTCCAGTGTGATGGGTACTAAGTGTGGCTCAGTGTAAGAGAAACAGGTGGATATCAAAGTAACTTGTGCTAAAATGATTCCATCTCTCATTTCTAAGCCCTTGTTTACAGATGCTTTCTCCTGAGTCCAGTAACACATGACTGCTATATTCTGTGAGTTCTTGCTTTTAACCCTACCTCTCCTGAGTTCCTTACATTTGAAAAAAAAAAAAATTAAAAAATCGAACTACTTAGAGAACTGAACCAAATGTACCTTCCCTACCTTGGAAAGAAAATTGGGCCTTCTGAGCTGCTTGTCATCCCCCCTACCTCATCCCATATTCTCATTTTCTTCTTTATATTCTAGCAACAAATTCCAATACACGCACACACACAGACACACACACACACACCCCAAGAGATAAGAGAGGATGCTTGAAGGTGGACCAGCTACATCAAGTGCGTGGGCCTCCAGTTTCTCAGAGTCTGACTTGAACTACTTACAGAACACAGGTCCGTGGGGATCAGGCTTGGGTCTGCCTGTGGCTAAAGAGCTTCCCGGGATATGAGCTCAGGACCAACAACAGCCTTTTATATGAACCCATGGGCTCCACCATGAACCTGGTCCTAAAAATTAGCCTCTTGATTTTTTCCTTATGATTATTATTATTTTTTACAGAGAAGCTGCTTTCAATGATTTCTTAAGTTTTGTTTCCTGATAGCTACTATTCCAAAGCACTCTAAAAACCAATTTTATACTTAATAAAGTTTAACTATTCAATATTTTTCATTTCAAAACTAAATAACAGACATTTAAAAGAATATTTCATTTTTAATGACACTAGTGCCACTATTTTAGAAAGCTGGATGACATCCACCATGCATTCCTATCTCCCTAACTGCCAAATACTCTATTAGTCAAGTTTGTTCATGTTTATAAGATTTTTTGGGGGATGTTTTAGTGCTATCAGAAGATCTAACATCTGTTTCTCCAGGGATTCTCCATGTGTTCTGTGGTTTACAACAATTGAAACCACTGTTTTCGAAATACATTTGGATTAAACTCAATGGACTAAGACTTGATTTCACAGGGAGCCCCATTCAGGCGTTCTGGGGTTTTCTCTCATGTCATTTTTACGAATGGTGAGACATGTGCCCTGGATTCAGGTGGGTGACGTGGAATAATAACAGTGGAGTTCAGTGGAATGCATGTGTAAAATGATGTTAAAGACATTCTAGTGTGGGGAGCGTATCTGGGTGTCTCTGTTTCTGCCCGGAGCACGGCAGAGGACAGGAAATCCCTTTGACTTTGCTCTTTTAGGAACCACAGTGACAGGGTCAAGTCCAGCACATCCCCTTATGTCCTTCCTTGGCCATCAACAACAACACCGTCCATACACCTTTCTGTGATGTTGGGAATGTTCTACATCTGCACTTCCCAATATAGCATTGCCACCAGTGCCCGGCAGCAATGGAGTGTTGAAATACGACCAGTGAGACTGAGCAGCTGAGGTTTTTGTTTTATTTAATATTTTAAATTTAAATTCTAATTCTAATATCCATGTACAACTAGTGGCTATCTGTCTTAATTCATTCTCATGCTGCTAATAATTACCCGAGCCTGGGTAATTTATAAAGGGAAGAGGTTTAACTGACTCACAGTTCAGCATGGCTAGGGAAGCCTCAGGAAACTTAACAATCATGTTGGAAGAGGAGCAAACATGTCTTTTTCACATGGTGGTAGCAAGGAGGAGTGCCCAGGGAAGGGGGAAGCCCCTTATAAAACCTTTAGATCTTGTGAGAACTAACTCACTGTCACAGGAGTAGGATGGGAGAAACCACTGCCACTATTCAGTTATCTCCATCTGGTCCCTCCCCTGACACTTGGGGTTTATAATAACTACAATTCAAGATGAGATTTGGGTGGGGACACAGCCAAATTACTCTCATTTTAGACAGTGAAGGTCTAGACGTGTCAGCCACTCTGAGCCCAGTCATTCTTTGCTGTGTCTCCACGGAACACTCCCTGATTTCTCCAGAACACCAATGTCTCTTATCTACACACTCCTTCAACAGAACAAATTACACCACTGGCCCGAAACTATTGACTGCTGTGCCCAGTGCCAGTCCATAGTGTGTTTCGGGAATCACAGCTGCTCAAGTTCAACGGCCACTACGTGTTTTAGGGCACACTTGAGGTTTACAGAGAGTACTTAATCAGAACTTTCTTGCCTGCAAGTTTTGCGTCAATTTAGACACACTCCAGTGAGGTAGGAAGATATCGACTAAACTGTTGGAGAACATAGCTTGGATCTGCAGCCAAAGTCAGCATTCTGATATGTTCCCCTCAAGCTGACAACCTGCGAGTGCTGATCCAGCCTACTGCATGGAGAATTGTGACCTATTTTTCAAGAGAGGCTGGTTATAGAGATCACATAAGGGCAGTTTCTTTAACACATTAATCTTACCTGATAGAAAAATACTGACCAGTGAGAGTCCAACTCTTTCTGTTCCTTATCAGACAGGCCTCGCTCCTTTCTGAAGGGGAGAGGAGGATGAAGATCCCTTGAATTTCTTGTGATTAAAGGATTCTTTTTTGTCTCCATCCCATTGCTAAACTGCCTTCTCCTTTATGTTTTTCATCTCTTCTCCAACATCCAGTGAACAATGTCTCCCCTTTTGCCTGTGACCACCAGAAAAATAAAAATATTTATTGCCTTCAAAGTTACATCCACTCTGATCCTGAGTCACTGTTATACCTTAAAGGAATTCTCGTAAAATATGTTGAGGAAATTCTTCCATATTTCATTAGTAAAAACAAAAAATATAATTTATACACACACAGACACAAACACACACAGAGATATAATTTTAACCAAAAAATCCTATTGTATTTCTTTATTCTGGTGCATAAAAACACCTTTCTAAAAAAGATGGAACAAAGATGAACAAACTTATAAAAACGACTCTAGTGCAAAGATAAACCCCAAAGATTCAAGGCGTGAGAAAGGCCCAAGTGAACTACTGATACTATTCAATCAGTGAGACTTTGTGTAAGAGATGAATTAAAATAACAGACTAAAGGACAAAAACCACTCTGTTCTAACTTCCCTAAAATAATAGAAGAATATTTTAAAACAAAATTAATAGAGAATAAGTACATATGGACAGTGCAAAACAAGAAAATGTGGATCAGCAGACCAGAACATGTGAGGAATTCCTAGAAGACAGAAACCAGATGGGATTAGAGTGACAAGAGTAGATGAATCTATAGCCAAAAATCATATGCAGCACGCAGGATGAATCCCCACATGGCCTTGGCTCACCCAGCTCTTCCCCCTTTCTCACTTGTAGTTCTCAAAAATAACTATAGAATGTGCCGGGAATGTAACATCCTGAGATAACGAGGAACTGGCTAGAACAGAGCCCGGGCTGTTCCTCCTCGTCCTAGAACACGATGTCCTTCAGTGTGTTAGCCCAGAAACTCAACTCTGCCTGGGTATAAAACCCAGGCAGAGTGGCCTTTTGGGGTGCATCAGTTCCAGGGCAATGTAATGTAATGTGAGACATTGAGATAAGACTACATTTGCCCCAGGAGCAAGCCCTGGGGCACTGGCTCACCTTGATGTCTGTAGGGAATAAAGTTGCTTTGCTTAATTTGCTATGTTAGCCTTCTGCCTCCCTAGACTTATACAAGTGGTAGAATAACCAGTGACTAGTGAACGTGCTAGAGAAACCAGGGCTCACACCGTGAACCCTGCTTCACACACCCCACAGTTACTGTGAAGCTAAAAACGAATGCTGGGCGTGGTGGCGCACACCTGTAGTCCCAGCTACTCAGCAGGCTGAGGCAAGAGAATCCCTTGAACCCAGGAGGCAGAGGTTGCAGTGAGCTGCGATCGTGCCACTGTACTCCAACAGAGCAAGACTTCATCTCAAAAAAAAAAAGTTAGAAAAAGCAATAAATACTATTAATGTCAAAACATGTGGGATATAACCAAAATAGGACTCAGAAAAACAGTTATAACTGAATTTTTTTTTTTTTTGGACGGAGTTTCGCTCTCGTTACCCAGGCTGGAGTGCAATGGCGCAATCTCGGCTCACCGCAACCTCCGCCTCCTGGGTTCAGGCAATTCTCCTGCCTCAGCCTCCTGAGTAGCTGGGATTACAGGCATGCGCCACCATGCCCAGCTAATGTTTTGTATTTTTAGTAGAGACGGGGTTTCACCATATTGACCAGGATGGTCTCGATCTCTTGACCTCGTGATCCACCCGCCTCGGCCTCCCAAAGTGCTGGGATTACAGGCTTGAGCCACCGCGCCCCGCCACTATAACTGAATTTTTTAGAACCTGAAACAAAAGTTAAAGAAAGGCTAGGTATAAACAAGGAAGTATTTAAAAAAAAAAAAAAAAAAGAACAGCAAAGTAAGCTCTAAGAAAGCAATTTTAAAAAAGAAAAATGAAGGAAAATAATTAAATAGAATAGTAATATGAAAAGCACACCTTATCAGTGAATCCAAAAGCCAAATCTTTCTATGACAACACTGAGGACAACAGTAAGAAAGTGGACGGGACCAGGACTGTTCCACCAAAGGCCCCTGGAGTGATTTCCTTGATGTAACTCATGTCACCATTTTCACTATGAATGTGGGTGCCTCATGATGTGTGCCACTTATGCAAAACTAATTCTGTGTCCTTATAGTGTTGCTCTCCTCCATTGAATTACCTTAGCACCTTTGCCAAAAAATCAACTTCACATATGTATGTGTGGCTCTATATTTGGCTATTTCCTATTTTGAAACTCTGTTATCAAATGCATACGCATTTAAAATTATTTCTTCTTGGTGAATTCACTCCTTTATTATTTGGGAGTGTCTTTCTTTGTCATTGACAGTACTCTCTGTTTCAAATTCTGCTATATCTGATATTAAGGTACTCACACCAGTTTTCTTACGATGAATGTGGGCATGGCAAATCCTTTTCCCATTCTCTTATTTTTAATCATCTATGCCTTTCTATTTGAAGTAGTTCTCTTGTAGACAGCATGTATTCGTTTTTAGTAGTAGTGCTTTTTATATAATCTGACAATTTATTCTGCCTTTTAATTGGGGTATTTAAGTCCATTATATTTATTGCAATTATAGATAAGGTTGGATTTAATAGTACCATTTTGTTAGGTCTGTTCCTTTTGTTTCATCTGGTTTTTTTCCTCATTGTGCCTACTTTTGAATTCAGTAATTTTATGATTTCCTTTTATCTTCACTATTTGCATATTAGTTACGTATTTTCTTAAAATTTTTAGTAGTTACTCTATGGTTTCAATATACATCTTGAATTTCTCACCTTCAAAAAATTTTATACCATCTCATGTATAATGTAAGACACTTATGATAATATTTTCATAATTGCTTTTCCCCTTCTTTGTGCTATTATTGTGGTGCATTTTCCTTTTTACATAAATTCCATAATACATTGTCACTATTTTTGCTTTAGATAGATAATTATATTTTAGAGTGATGAAAATAAGAAAAAAATATGCCATTTTTATATTTACTTCATGTTTACTGTTTCTAGAGATCTTCATTTATATGTAGATCCAAGTTTCTATCTGATATTACATTTCTTTTGCCTGAAGAACATTAACATATTTCGTACTGGCTCCTGTTGGTTAGCTGTGCATTCTCTCAGGTTTGCTTTTTTCTTTCCTGTGTAGAAAGTGTTTATTTCACTTTTATTTTTGAAAGATATTTTAGCTGGATATAGAATTTTGAGTTAATAGTATTGTTTCCAATACTTTAAAAATGCCTTTCCATTGTCTTCTAGCTTCCATAGTTACTGAAAAGAATGCTGCTATAGTTTTCTTCTTCTCTTTCTTTCTCTTTGAAAAGTCTTTTCTTTCTTTGCTGCCTTCAAGATTTCTCTCTCTCTTTTTTTTTTTTTTTTTTTTTTTGCAGTTTTACAGTGATGTATGTAGGAGGGCATTTTTGTCCTTATCTTTTGTAATTTATACTGATTCTCCGAAATTCTTGGGGCTTTGATTTGGTGGTCATCGCTAATTTTTTAAAAAGTGACCATTATCTCAATAATTTTTTTAGGGCACCGTCTGTCTTCTATGGCATTCTAGTGACATTCCATTTGTATGTTTCTTTAACAGTTTGATATTGTCCCACAGCCTTTGGATGCTTTGTTCTGGTTTACTTTTCACTCTTTTCTCTTTCTTTTTGTGTTTCAATTTGTCTAATTTTATTGAATTATCTTCAAATTCACTGATTCTTCTTTCAGTTGTGTTGAGTCTACTGGTGTCCATTAAAGACTTTGTTTCTGGTACCATATATTAAAAAAAATATCTAATATATCCATTTGACTTCTTTCTTATGGCTTCCCCCTGACTGTGGAAATTTCTCCATCTAATTACAGATATGTTCATTTTCTCCCACTGGATCTTTTGCACATTAATCACTGTTATTGGTAAATTGTTATTTGATGGTTTCTACACCTGGTTTTTTATGGGTCTGACCATGAGTTGTATTTTTGTTTTCTATTATGTTTTGTTGGGACTGTGTGTGTGTGTGTGTGTGTGTGTGTGTGTGTGTGTTGATCTTTTACATGTCTTGTAATTTTTGACTGAATGCTATCATCGTGTGTAGACCAGAACTGCTGAGATACATAGCATTTATTCCTCAATATTTACATTTTTCTTTTTTTGTTTGGCTGCTAGTATGGTTTGTGTCAATCTAGTCAGAAATTGGTTTTATTGTTGTCATGGTTACTCTCCATGCACAGTCTTTAACTTCCATTAGTAGTGGGTTGTTATTATTTTGTGCTTGGGTGCAGGCTGATGAGCCTAAATATATTTCTCAGAATTACTGCTACAGCCTGAGATTTTAAATGATCTTTGCTCATCTCCACCGCAGGAGGAGTCTCTCACCATGCTTTTGCCTGTTCTCCAGTGGTAGAGTGCTGTTGCTTCTTTTGGTGCTTGTTAGATAAGTAGTAATTGTCAATGAGGCTTCTTTCTTGTCCTTTTCCAGCCATAATCTTATAAAGGACTTTCGTGACTTGGCACAAAATGGCAAATAAAGACGTAAAACTACACCCAACTTTATTAGTCATTAGAGAAACGCAATTTAAAACCACAACGAGATACCACTACATGCATGACTAAAATTTAAAAGCCTGAAAATATCAAAAGTTGACCAGTATGTGGAGTTACTAGAACCTTCGCACACTGATGTTGACAATACAAAATGGTACATTCACTCTGAAAAAACAGTTTGGAACTTCTTTATAAAGCTAAACACATAATGACCATATAATGGAAAAATCTCTTTTAGATATTTTCCTAAGAGAAATGAAAATATACTTTCACACAAAGACTTGTTTCATGGATGTTCAGAGTAGCATTATTCCTAAGAGCCCCAAACTGGAAACAACTCATATGTCTATCCACTAGAAAATGGGTGAACAAATTGTAGTATAGTCATCCAAGAGGATATTACTTATCAATAAAAAAGAAATTACTACTCCCCATAATATGGATGAATCTCAGAAGTATTATGTGGAATGAAATAAATCAGACAAATAAAACTTCTTCATATTATATAATTCTGTTGATGTAAAATTCCAGAAGAAATAAAAACTAATGAAAGCAATTGTTTTTGTGATCATGGTAGGAAAAGAGGAATGACTACAAAGGAGCCTGAAGAAACTTTTTGGCATCATGGAAGTAGTCTACATCTTGGTGGTGGGAGTTACAAACCATGTGCATTTGTCAAAATTTATCAAACTGATATACGTGGAATTGGTGAATTTCATTGTATATAAATTACACCCAATGATTAAAAGTAAGATGTGAATAATTGTTCCAGTTAAGTAAGAGAAGCAGGTATAGTCTAGGGGAAGTTCTATGCCCTTGAACCCTTCTTCAGCTGAAGCATTTCTCAGGAACCACTCAACTTTCATACGTCTCAGTCTGAAAACCAGTGGCTTAGTTTTCCCAACTTGTGTGTGCACTTGAAAGTTAGAGCCAGAGGTGATGTGAATTTCCCAGATCATATAGTTTAATAATCTCAGCTCTAGGATTTTAACCAGAATTATATAAGGAACCAACAGATTTTTAAGGAGATAATCAATTATCTTTTATTCATTGCTTTCATCTTCTAAATAATTTTTGACTACCAACTATATATATGACATAAAGCTACTATTGGAGCGATATACGAAGAGAGTTCACAAACCTAGCACTCTGCATACCTTCTTTTGAGAAATGAAATTCACACAGGATTTATTTCTCTTTCTCAGGAGTGATCCAGACCGACTGCAAAAGTACATCCTTTACCGCAATTAGAACAGAAAAAACACATCGAATTTCAGTTATGCATTTGACCAGCTTCCCGCTGGTCAAATCTCTGTGCACAACGCGTTCAGATCGTCAGTGATGAAGCTCTCTGGGTGATGTGTTTTCCTAGGAGCTGCTGTGAAAACAAAGGGTCCAGGGAGGTTCTGGGATGCAGCCAATCCTTTGGGACTGGTAGGTGGGTGAGTCCAGTGGAATTTGAGACTAGGAAAGCCCATTCACTGCTTCTTCCAGGAGGGACCACCTCTTTTCTGGAGCTTCAAGTTTACCCAGGAAGAATATCACAGGTTTCAGAAAATTGATTTTAAAAAATGGCTATTTTGGGATCCACTTGCCTTTTCCTCTTTCCAAAGAGGAATCATTGTTGGAGGCTCTGACATCAGCACCACTCCCACTGCTCCAGCATGGCCATTAATCACCCATCAAATTCCTGCCTTATTTCCTTTGGCCTTGAAAATTATATGTCTTTCCTTTTGGCCTTGGAGATTATATGTCTCAAACTCTCTTGGTTGCTCGTTTTTTTCCTCCATTTTTTTTTTTTTTTTGCCTTTTTTTCTTTCTGAGGGATGAGAACTGGGGAGGAGAAAGCCATTGTCAATTAATAGAGAGAGATTTTCACCAGGTGTTTCTCAATTATCACATTGGCAGCAAGCCCCTTCTGTGTAAATTGTATTGAGGGGAAAAAAAAAAAAAACGAAAAATACCTCTCTGTGCAGACATCCTCCCTGGGATTGTAACCAGCTCCATGTCTTCTTTCCTCAGAAGGACAGTCCTCCTCTGGGAATAGCCCTGCTTAGAGCTATAAGCAAAGCCAAGGTTGCTGCCTCCTGAAATATCATAATTTGAATGTGTTAAAGTGTGTGATTATTATTAGATCTTAAACACTCTAGATTTGCTCCCTCATTCCACACAAGTTTCAGAAATAAACCCGCGACCAGTCTCCAGGAGAGATTGATGCTTATTCTGTGTCAGAGGCCTGGTCCCCAGACGTCCCCATAAATTTGTCTGCTGAAAGACCATAAACATAATTCTGAGCATGGAAGTTATTTAGATTTGAATTAATTGCTTTTTCAGTTGTTTTCAAATATGCAAATTGAAATAGCCAAAAAGAAAAAAAAAAAAACCCAAAACACGTCTATATATAAAACGAAAAAAAAAAAAAAAAGCACTCCATTCTCCTGGAGAGATTCTAGAATGTCCTTTGCCAAGGTGATCTGCTTTTTGTCAACAAAATGGCAAAGGTGCATTTTTTTTTTTTAAATGACCCATGTCTGTGCGGGTATTTCCTCTTTCTCTGACATTTTCTTAGAGGAGTGATCAAGTATTTCCTGTTGGTCAGAGCCTCTTTGACTTCAGCAAGCTACCACACACAAAAAAGAAGATTATTAAATCAACTGTGGATAGTAAAAGTGCGTTACCAGTCCGTTGAATCTGTAGGAAAACGATTTTGTAGAGAAGGCTGAAGGAGAATGCAGGAAGACACGTTTATCGTCATTAAAAGTCACTTAATGACACAAGCTAGGCAGTCAGCGTTCTTCTCATCAGTGAGGTCAGAAGCATCTCTGCTTACAGCTGTTATGACCCAGCACGCTGGCTTCGATGGAGACCTTGAGGGACCTCTTGGGGGGAAACATGGTGGTTTATCTGGGGACACAACTTGTAAACATCTCTCATCTAGGAATTTCCATGAAACCTCCTGAGCTTGGAGAGATGCCCAGCTCGTGCCAACTCCTGTATAACAAGCTCCAGATGCTTTCTCTACTCCGTGCCAGGTGGGATTCCCTGAGGTTTGCCCTTAACCCATCTCCTCAAAGCCCACAGTCAGAGACGAGGCAGTTCTGGGGTCAGACACGTGCACGCAGCTGGGTTGCCTTTACCTGTAGCGGTTCTCAGGAACCACTAAACGCCCATGCATTTCAGTCTGAAAACCAGTGGCTTCCTTTTCCCCACTTGCGTGCGCTTGAAAATGAGAACCAGAGGGGATGTGAATTTCCCACATCCCATGCCCTGCTCCAGTGAGTGTTCAGCCTTTAGTTATGTCCATTCATAGCCTGCCCAGACAGGGTCAAGTTCAGCCAGGAGATGGGACTCCCTCTCTCTCCATGACATCACTGGTCAGTAGTCACAGGTCAGCTAGTCACATGAAGACTCAGTTTTTGAGCAGATTTGAGTACAAGTCCTGGGCTAGGAAATACAGAAGTCAGAGAAAATTGTAATCTTAAGCTCCTCTCTTTGCCTTAGGCCAGTTTCCCAGAAGCACAGCTTAAGATGGGATTCTGGGGCTAATGACTTATTAGGGAGGTGCTCTTAGGAGAAGCCAGTGAGAGGTGCAGTTTATAGCAAAAGAAGAGTCAGGCCAAGGACTGGTCATAGCTGAATCCTAGCCTCAACCTGAGTGCACTGGAAATTCGGGGAGGGTGCACAGTCCCAGGTTACTCTGGGTTGTGGGGGGAAGAGTGAGCATCACACGTTTATTTCTGACTGTCATGGGCTATGGATGGCCTGCAAGAAGGAGAGCACAATCTCCCTGTGCCTCTGTTCAAGGCAGCTCCTGAGGGCAGGTCTCCTGGGGGTAGAGTGCCTCTGGGAGCACCTATGTTTTTAGCACTGAACTGTGGGTGCTCAGGCTCATTAATCGGCATCTGGGCAAAACATTAAGGCTGTGCAGATGCAGCTGTAGTGGAAAACAATATGGGTGCATGGTCACAATGGACTTCCTAACACACTCCCAGGTCTCAGCCTTCAGCCATGCAAGGAGGGCCGAGGTGTTGCCCACAGAGCAGGTACTCCCCAGCCATGGGACTTAGGGTCAGGGCTACAGCCAGGCTCACCCCGGTGACAAGGATGTCTGCCCCATATCCCTGCCACATGAAGCAGTAAAACAGCAGCTCTTTTGGCACACAGGGAAAAAGCCAGGGTCAAGGTCCCACGTTTCAGCACCACTTACCAGCTGGAGTCTTCGGGCATCATGTCAAGCCCTCCCTGAGGGCTGGCTGTGACTTTCTCATAGGGTGTTTACTCCCTAGCTTGTCAGCTTCCTGGCCCCTGAAAGTGTCTATGAGTGTAACCTCAGAATATATGCATGGAGACTCAAGATTGACAGAGGGGCCAGGCGTGATGGCTCATGCCTATAATCCCAGCACTTTGGGAGGCCAAAGTGGGTGGATTACTTGAGGTCAAGAGTTTGAGATCAGCCTGTCCAACATGGTGAAGTCCATGTTGCTCACCTGTAAACCCAGTTACTTGGGAGGCTGAGGCAGGAGAATCACATGAACCTGGGACGCAGACATTGCAGTGAGCCAAGATTGTGTCACTGTACTTCAGCCTGGGTGACAGAGCGAGGCTCTGTCAAAAAAAAAAAAAAAAAAAAAAAGATTGAAAGTGGGACACACACTGACCCTTGCAAAGGGAGAGCCCCAGGCCACAGGGCCTTAGGGTCACAGGCAGAGGTGGGCCTCCCCAAGAGGAGAAGGCACAGCCAAGAGGTAAGACTCCAGATTAGATGATCAAAATCCAGAATACAGGCCCATGTTCTCAAGTTGACCTTATTACTCTGACCCTTTGACACGAGGTTCTTGTGCTGGGCCAGGGCCATTGGGTTTGTCTTCTACAGAGTCACTCACTGTGTGACCTCAAGTCCCCCCCAACTGTTTTTCCTCACCCAGACCTCAGGATCTCTTACCCGGACCAATGCTCTTGCCCCGTCTGCCCTCAGCAGCCCACTTCTTCCCACCTCCAACGTCTACCCCTGATCTATCCTAACCTCCACAGCAATCTGGTTTCAGCTCAGATCATATTCCTTCCTTAAACATTTTTCACGTGCCCCAAAGCCTGGAGTGGGTCCTCTGGCCATCACCAGAGGAATCTGGCCCATGGGTCATCCATGTGAAAGGGCAGTCCTGATGTATCAGGAGGCTGCTTCTTAGAAAACTTCCAGTTCTGAGTTAACACAGCAAAGTAAAAACTGTCAGCCCAGCCAACGCTCTGCTCAGGACATGTCTGAGAACATTCACAAGCTCTGGAAGGAAGAAGGCTCAAGGGCCCCTCATGGAGGAGGTGCATCCTTGGCCCGCAGCCTCTGCACCAGAGCTGTCAAGAAGGGAAGGCAGGCAGCTGGAGAAGCTGGGGAAGATGCTGGAGACCCATCCTGGGAAGGTCCTCCATCCCTCCACCCAAACTGCATGCACTAGAATCGACTTGTGCTCTACTGGGGCACTTGAGCCCAGCCTGCACCTGCACATACTCAGTCAAAGACAGTGAAGCAAGAGGAACACACATTTGAGCTCTGACACACACCTAAGAAGACACCTCCACCAAGCACATATCCATTGTGGTGAGTGCAGCAGTGATATCATCCAAAGAACAGAATACTGAAAGGCACATTATGCAAATGTGTGTTCCCAGTTATGGATTCACCTGGAAGCTTTCAAAACTTCCAAGGCCTCATTCCAGGCTTAGCCAACAACCAGTGCTACCTCAGTGACTGAGTGAACATTATTTCCGGGATAAATTAGATTTCTGGGAACATTATATTCCAGGTCCTTCTCTCTTCAAATGAGGGACCTTAAGGTACACGCCCTGCCCAAGGTCATGCTGCCAGCTGGGCTGAAGGGCAGAGACAACCTCTCTGTGAGGTATGGTTTCTTCCTGGAAGCTCTCTAGGGAGCCCTGAAACTCAGGTGGCCCAGGGACAATGCTGTTGGATCTAGGGTACTGGCAAGTACTGACATTGATGATTGATAGATGATGAAGCCGAAGATCAGGGATTTTTCAGAAATCTGCCCAAGTTCAGGAAGCTAAACTTCAATGTATCCATTCAATCTATTCTAAGAAAGAATTTTTTTTTGGGAAACTGATTATTATAAAGTCTACTTGCAAGAGTAAACATCAGAAGCTGTAACGACAATTGCAAAATTAACCAAACCTACAGTAATAGCAGAACAAACAAGAAAAGAACGACAAGCTTGCTGTTTCAATCAGTAAATTACAGAATAAAGCTGTGGTAATAAACAGGGTGAAGTGCGTTTCACAGGTTAACAGTGCTTTTGATTGTAGGTTGGAGCCACCCTAGAGTTTAAGAAAAATACAAATTCACAGGCCTCTCTCAGAGATGCTGATCTCATTGGTCTAGATGAAGTGTGGCCTGGGCTTCACAGTTTGTAAGTGCTTTTTAGATTATTATAACCAGCAGCCAACAGTTAAGAACCACTGGATTAATGGAAGGAAATCAATGGAGAGATTGTTAAAAATGAAGGTTCCTGTATCTGGGTCCACTGACTCAGGCTCTAAGAAGGGGTCTGTAAGAAACAAGGTTCGCCAACACATATCAATGTTTTGGAAACTTTGGAAAAGAGAGTTCTTACACAGTTCCACATACAGGCAGGCATTCAGTGGATTCTAAAGGTGACATCTCAAAACACAGAACGAGAGTTGTAGCAAGGGCGTTGGTATAATCCACTGGCCATTTGAAGACCAAGTTGGATCTCGAGTTCACTTCTTCCAACTAAAACCATAAAGAAATAGGGGTAACTAACTAACTTCTAATATTGTGCTGGAAAAAGGCTTTCTAAGGAAGGCAGAAACTTTATATAAAGAAAAAATGTAATAGATTTGACTGCCTAAAAATGAAACTAAGTCATGAACTGCAAAGTACATAAACTAGAAGCAGCAAAGTGCAAAAAAAGAAAGTTGCCACACGTATTACAGATAAAAGCTTAGTAATCTTTATTTGCCAAAAAAATAAAAAATTTTAAATGAACTTTCATAAGCCGAAAGAAAAACCAGTATGCAGTAAAAAATTAAGCAGTAAACACAAGGAGGTAAATTGCAAAACAAAATGTGCAGTCAATACATACTAAAAAAGATGTTCTACCTCATAAGTAATCAAAAGTGCTAAATAAAAATCAAAATGACTCATTTTTTTTTCACCCATCATATTGGAAAGGATTAAAAGTTTGACAAAAATCAAAAATAGCAAGGATGTGGGAAAATTGACATTCTCATGCACTGTTGTTGGAAATGTAAATTGGTATTCCTTTCTGGAAGGCAGTTTGTCAACTGAAATTAACTTTTTTTTAAAATAAGAAGCATGCCTTTAGCCTAGTAATCATATGCTCGAGAATTTATCCGAAGGAGATAATTGCTAAGTGATGCAAAGATATAGATACAATAGCATTCATTAATGAATTTAATAGTGAAATTTTAGGAGCAACATAAATATCTATAAATAAGGATTGGTTAAATAATCTATAGTATATATATGTGTGTATATATATACATATATACACACACACATATATGTACATATATATGTATATATATGTGTACACACACACACACACACACACACACCCCAACCAAAAGCCCCTACATTTGAAAGAGTGTATTTCTATAGATTTCTAGTTACTGAAATGACGTGGCTCTTCTACACCTCCTCCTTTTGTACACGTTATTTCTTCTCCCTGGGCTGCCCATTCCCCCATGCTTTCATATGTGGTTCCCTCCTGGGAGTGCCCAACCAGCTCGAATTGCCCCTTCTTCTGTGAAGCTGTCCCTCCTTTCTGAGACACATAAGTAGTCACCACTCTTACTGCCCAAAACATTCCTTTACCATTCCCATGGCAGCACTTGTTCACTCATTCATTCAATACATGTTTTTACTGAGCACCTACTATGTATCAGGCTCTCCACAGGGCTCTTACCACCCTCTAAAGTAGTTGACTTTTTCGTGGCCATCTTTCCCACTGGATTGCAAACCTCTGCAGAGTAAAAGAGTGCGTGATTTATTCTGTTATCCTAGATTTCAAATTGGTACTTGGCATATGAGCAACACTAGCTTATTGAATAAAAGGAAGAATGAATGAAAGGGTGAGTGGATGAATGGATGGGTGAATGGATAGGTGGATGAATTGAAGGAAGGATGGGCAGATAAATGAATAAGTAGGTGGTTTAATGAATAGAAAAAAATTATGGATGGATGAATGGGTGGGTGAATGGATGAGTGAACGGAAGAACACATGGGTGGATGTTTGAATGGATGGATGGATGAAGGAACAGAAGGAAAGATGAACAGATGAATGGATGAATAGGTGGTTGAATCGGTTGGTAGGTGAATGGATGAATGAGTGAATACAAGGAAGGATGGATAGATGAAAAGATGGGTGAGTATACGAATAGATGGATGGGTGAATGGATGCATGGATGAATGAATAGAAGAAAGGATAGTTATAGGAATTGGTGGATAGGTGGAGGGGATGAGTGAATGGATGGGTGGATAGATGGAGACTAGACAGATGAGTAAGTGAGTGATTGAGTGCTAGGGAAGACAGACAGATGAATGTGAAAGGGCTGGGTGGATGAGGAGATGGAGTAGATGCATAGGCTAGCAGAAGGATAATCAGATAAGTAGGTGAGCAAATGGAAAGGATGCCGTGTTCCTCAGTCCATCTTATTGCCACCCTGCCTCAGGAAGGACATTCAGAGAGTGCTTATCATTAAACATTCTTTCCACAGCTATGTGTGGGATCTACAAAGTGTTAAAAATTATCAAAGCTATGTAACTGAGAAAATTGGCTCTACCATAACAAAATAGAACAGAAAAAAAATCCCCTGTAAAACAAAAGGCAACAAGTTTGTTCCACAGACATTGGACATGTTAAGAAACCAGCAGAGGAGAGAGAAGCAACTTAAGAGATTATTGACAGTAGGAACCCACTTCCATGCCCAGGCCTGAGTGAGAAAGGGAGTGTCCAGTCACCAGATCCAGGAGCAGCCCATATGTTGGCATCTGAGACCATCCTGATAGTCTCCACCAGTGGGAGGCAGTTGCAGAGAAAGTGTAGTCGGTACCCAAGTGAGAGGACAACACCCTTGCTTCTCTTTTCCTCCTCCCCTAAGTCACCCACCTGTGCCACCCACTGGCCAAACCCAACAAGGAACCAGCTGGCAGGGGAACCTGGAATCGTGGGGTCCAGGTATCAGCAGAGCAGGGAGGAGTGATAAACGCATTTGAGGACAAACAGGCCAACAACTGCACACCCGACAAAATTGAAATCAATAAATATTTAAATGTGTCCACAATGTCACATTATTTGTCAGCCAAGCAACTGCAAATGAACTCTTACATATGTTATGAATAAATTATGTTGGGTGTGTGTACATTTTAATACAGCTGATGTGGAGGGGGGGAACGCCTGGGGACAATGAGGCCTTCAAGTGACCCTCCAGACACTCTTCTTGTGCTGCGAGTCTCAAGGCTCAGCTTCCTGTTCTCTAATAGAGTAACTTTGGGCAAATCACTCAGTTTCCCCCTCTTTAAAGTCCACGTCAATTTTTCAAGATCCCTATGAAGTGAAAGTAAAATGTTTGTAGAAGTACCCAGGACCCCATCTGACCTGATGGAAGCCATCATTATCATTGCTTCTAAGAGGCACTCAGCCAGCCAGAGGAGGCATGCACAGGTGCCCTTCAGCAGAACACTTTGTCATGACGACGTAACAAAAGCCTGAAGAAGTGCATCTTCCTAAAATTAAAAATCTCACGTCCATCAACTCACGGCGAGGACACCATGGTGGACGTGGGCAATGATTTAATGACAAGGACAGTCATCCCAGCCTATTTATATTACTGCACGTATTATATTCCTAAATACTGAGCAGGAAGGGGTAAATTAAATGAGAGGGTATCAACACAATGGGACATGGAGAACATATGTGTTCATGTATGTAAATGTCTACAAATTTGTTTTCAGCTATAGTCTCTGAAATGAAATTATGGGTATTGTTTTCTTTGTTTAAAAAAATTATCAGTGATAGCTTGTGCCAGTTCAGCTGACCCAGTGCCACAGTTCGGAAAAGAGCGATAATGACAGAGCAGGAACTAAGGACAAATTACGTGACTGAGGTCCTTCTCAGTGACGTCACTCTGCTTGCTGATGAACTGGCCACTCGTGGTGGCCCTCAGGCAGCTAGCACTCACAGGCTGGAAAAATGAGTCTTCTAAGGCGAGCCTCCAGGGTCCTCTGTGCTCTGCCACCTGCATGGCCACCATCTATAGTCACAGGTACAAATCACAAAAAAAAAAACCTCCCTTCCTAGTCCGCAAGGACTTAAGCCCTGCTTCAGGACCATTCACATGGAGTTATATGTAGCCATAGCTAACACACCTGCTTGTAAAATCTTTGCATTTTCTATTTGCTTTTATTTTTCCCCAAAAATTTGAGACAGCTTCAGTGCATTCCTGGGAATCGTCACCCGCTAAAAAACGCTGACGCAGAAGGTAGAGGTGAAACCCAGGGAGCTTCGATCAAGTGGTTTTCTGCAGGCAGCACGTGTGGCTTTGGAGTAGGCCCTGGGAGCCCCTTCACCTCCCGGGTCTCAAGCATCTTCTCTGTGAAAGGCAGGATGGACATGATGACCCTGGAAACCCTGCCATGCTCTAAGGCAAAATATCTCCTCTGACTCAATTTTTAGTTTTAATCTGACATAGTGAAGCAACGATTTAAACCTCTAAAGCCAATATGAGCAAATTTTTGCTCATAAGGCTCAGATTGCAAATCTCTTAGGCTCCATAGCCCCCGTGGTCTGTCTTGCAACTGCTCAGCTTTGAAGTTGAGCACAAAACCCAGCCATGGACAACAAGTGCACAAATTAGAGTATTCGTGTTCTGAGAAAATGTTATTGACAAGGCCAGGTGGTAGGCTGGATTTTGCCTGTGGGTCCTCTTGTGCAGACCCTTGCTGTAAAGTAGACTGTTTCCAAAGACTTAACTGGTGACTGATGGAGTTAATAAAAAATGTAGACGATGGTAATGATGATGAAGATAAAAATAATATAAGCTTCTTCCTTTTATGTAAGAGCATGTGTGTGCTCTAAAAATTAAAATAGCGCCAAAGATGGTTAGCAAAACAACGTCTCCTCCACCCCCAAATACGTCCATTGCTTAGCCCCAGAACCCACCTCGCCTGACATGGCAAAGGAAATATTGCATGTGTGATCACAGTCATCAACACTGTCATGGAGAGATGATGATCGTGATGATCTTGGTGGACCCAGTGAAACCATAGGAGTCCTTAAAAGCAGAAAACCTTTCTGGCTGGATCAGAGAGAGATCTGAGCATACACAAAGGGTTCAAAAAGAACTCACTCTTCTGTTGCTGGCTTTGGACATTGAGAAAGGATCCCAAGAGAGCCAAGGAATTCAGGCAGCCAGAAGGAGCAAGAAAAGGCAAAGAAACAGATTCTCCCCTAGAGCCTCCAGAGAGGAATGCAGTCCTGCTAAGACCTCAAGCTCAGCCCCAGGAGACCGAGAGAACTGTAAGGTAATAAATATGTGTCACTTAAACCACTACATTTGTGATAATCTTTATAGCATCAGTAGAAAACTAATACCCTAACTCCCTGAGAAAAATTTGGAATTTACAAAATCTAATCTCACCCGTAATGTCACTACCCAGAGATACCCAGCATTAACATATATTAGAAATATTTTAGATTTATTTGCATA